CCTTGGGAAGAATAAGAGGACATTCCAAGCCACACTTGCATGTTCCATCAGTAAGCAGGTATGTTTTAACCTGCTCCAAGCAAGATAACAAAGACCCACTGGGACTGTAAAAATATTTTAAAAAATCAGGAAGTAATTTCAACTATATACATTATATGAAAAAAGTATAATTTTTACAAGGATAATATTTTCCAACTAAGGAAAAGCATTTGGTTTTGTCAAAATTATTGCACTAAATTGCAACCTGTAAAACTATAGTTCTTTATTTTGAAAGAAGATATTTCTTAAATACTTTTAAACAGGTTTGCCAAAGTTGGAATTACAAGTTCCTTCCTTATAGCTCTGGAGTCAAGTCAGTAAACCAAATAAAACTGGACTTTTTATATCCTTCAAAATCTGTGAAACTTCTGATTTTACTCGTCATGATGCATGATGCCCTGATCAAATTCAAGCCTATCTAGCTCAGATGGCAGAAAAGAGCTTAGATTTTTATTTATCATGCAATTAATAGGAATTTAAGCTTTCTCATTCAATGATTAATGTAGATTTCATTAAGCGATCCCATATTGATCATAGGATATTATGCTTCCATTTCAGATAAACCTTCCCATAAACTATCTGTTTCAATTCATGTGATTGTAAAGTTAAGTTCTTCATTCTTTTACATATAGTGTAAATTCTTCATTTAGGGGTGGTATATTCTTTGTAAATATAAAAATGCATCCAGATTTTGTGCAGGCGGAAAGCAAACTCTTTGAGGATAAATATTTTACTGAGTACCACACAAACTACCTATATGTGAAATCTTAAAGGGTCTTAACCTTACTGACAGTCAGGAATCCACTTGGCTGGGGTGAATAACAATTCATTCCAAATAAGTAACAAAGGAAGCAACACTATTACTGACTTCACAGGAAAAAACCAGATAAATTCTGGTTCATCTGGCTTGAATTATTAACTTTTCATGATTAACTTTTCACATTAAAAATTTAAAGCAGTTTGCCATAAGAGGCATCACTGACATTTTATAGTTAAGGATTAGATTAAGGAAAAAAATAACTGTAAAGTTAAAATCAGAGACAAGATTCCTAAATTATTTTACAGAACTCTGTTCAATATATTCAGAAACACTTCCTCTCAATTAGACAGTGGGAATTTCCCCCTCCAGTTGTAGCTCTTTAATTAACTTGAGGTAGTAATAATTAATGTAAACACAGTTACTGAGCCTGTAGCTCAGACATAGCTTAAGATCAGAAGCAGGTAGAATGTTTAGCATAGAGAATCAATGCCACCCTCAGGCCAGAGGAGGATGGAAGATGTAACTTACAAATTATAATAAAATCAGGCATCTAAATATTCACTGTGGACAAAAAGGAGCTATGACAATTTAGCAAGATGTCTAAAACCACATCAAAACCATAATGGTAAATGTTAGCTCCCTTCTTTTTACTTTTTCAACCAGGAAAATCTGATCAGAGTCACTCTCATCTTTATTTTCTATAACAAAGAGGTAATGGTCAGATTTTTTTTTTTTAAAGGACTGCATTATAGAATTGGAAAAATCAAACCAATATAATCATTATATAGAGCACTTACATGAAAACTGAGTTCCATCAATGATTCCAAAAATATGAAATATGATGACTAATGAACTCTTAAAGTTAAAATTTTATTTTCAGCTTTTAGCAAAATGAAAAGCTGACATGAATATATATGTATATGTAGGCCAGAGAAAATGTAAAGTAATTTAGACTTCAAAGCTTACTATTAAATATTGAACAGGTTTTATTGTAAATGCCTTAAAAACAGAGATTTTTTTTATTTAGTATTTATATATTTGTAATCTAGCATATAGTAGGCACTTAATAAACGCTTGTTGATTGATTACATTTAAAAAGCTAAATACTGATTTAAAAACATTGTGGTTCTTCCTATCTTGTCATTATGAAAATTCACACCCAAATATTTTTGCTGGATGACAGAGTGGCAATATAGTGTAAAATGAAAAACTTAAAACATATTTTGTGCCCTTACCCAACATGTTTATCATGTAACAGGATGACAATATACTTTCCTTGGGTTTTATACTATAAATTAATATAAGATACACATTTTTTTACCAAAAAATACACTGACATAAATTTTTCTCTGACACAAAGGTTTCCAAGCTCCAACTGGTAATACACCTCAAGAAGCAAGTAACATTACAAAACTTTAAGTATGAAAACAGAATTGAGACAATCCCTTGAAGTCCGTTTTAACAGGATTTGACCTGAACGTTCACAGTTCAAAGCGTGGCAGATACTCAGGCAACCAAATACATCAACACAGAAATTGAAATCCCCCTCCCAGAATCAGCAAAGGTGACTTGATCTCCATATTTTAGAATAAAAAACCCACAAGTATCTTAAAAATAAAGTTCTAAATCTATTACACAAAACATATGATATAAATCTATTCATAAAAGGCAGACAAATAAAAGGAATCAGGAAAACTGGGTTCTAGTGCTGCCTCTGACGCAGATTACCTGTATTACCATGAACAAAATCACTCAATCTCTCAGTGCCTCATATAACTCTTTTGAGATTTTCAGTTACAGATGAATTGCTAATCTGTGTATCATTGAAGGGATTTTTTTTTTTACACTAGGAGAGGAAATCATAGGTCTATACCACAAAAACTTTTTATGCATAATACTTAAAAATAATTGAATACTTATTTAAATTATTTAATGAACTGTTGTAATAAATACTTATTATGAGTCTGCAATTATTTATAGTTTTACTTTTCGATTACCTAACACAAAGAATAAAAAGGTAATAGTGAAGATAATCTGAATTTTACTTGTTTAAATAAAATGTAAATACCACATCAAAAATGATAACATGATTTTTTTCTATTACATACAAGTGACTTGATGAACATTACGTAAGAACAATAAAGAATAATTATTTTTTGGCAATTTCAGGCAACATTTAGAGGTGCAGTCATTAACATGATCTACTGGAGATGAAAATATCCAATATTGCAACAGAAAAATCACCCAGAACATTACCAAAAACAGAATGTTGTCACTAAATGACTATGGAATTATCTAAAATACTATATATTCTAGAATGTAGCATTGATGTTTACAAGCTTTAGAAATATTAAAAACAAAAATAACACAAATTCATTAATGATATGAAGAAATTTAAATGACAAAACTATAGGATTATAGTGGAAATGTCCTGGTTCTGGAGTCTTGGGACCTGGGTTTAAAATTCCACTTTGGGGCATTACTACTTGTGTACCCTCAGGTAAGCACTTATGTTCCCTAAGCCTCACCTTCCTCATCAGTAAAGTAAGGAGGCTGTATTTCTTGGCCCTGAAGGTCCCTTCTAGCTCTGGATCTACGAAATGAAATAAAAGCATTTGAATAATTTTTAACAGAGAAAATTTTATTTGTATGCTATAAGCACCTAGCATGTTACATAGTAGACACTTAATAAATGTGTGTTGCTTTGATAATAATTTATTTAAATTAGATAGAAATTTTGTAAGTACTGATAATTTTGCTCAAATGTGCATAAAAGTAGTATGTTTCACTCAAACTAGGAGAGGCAACAAGGAGGTAACAGAACAATGCTCACCTAATGTAAAGCACTCCATTTTGATCCACCCGACGTTGCCAGCCCACGGGAACTTGTACTGGCAGGCCTCCATCCTTGTCCCCTCCATCATACTCCTTTCCTCCATTCATTTTCTGTGTCTGCTTGGGACTCCTCAGAGATATCAACAGTAAGATGATATCCTTATATTACATGGCATCATGACCTTCAAGAATAGGCCAATTCAGTACAGTTTTTTGCAGTCTGTACAAAGTGCATTGGGAAGCTTTAGCTCAGTTTGGAAACAAGTCCGTGAAATCTGCCATTGTTAAGTCAGTTGCCCATTATAATCTACATTAAATAGCTGACTTTTTAACTTCCCATGTATGTATTCCTAAGGATAGGCTACATACGTAAAAATGAGTGCTTCCAAATTAGGAAAATCATATTTCCTCAAAAGGGTTGGAAGGAAGTAAAGTTTCTAATTCAACAGCATGTCTCAAAAACTTGAAGCCTAATAAATTCTGTATTTGCTGAAAAAGTCTTATTTTGATAATTTTCAACTAATTAATATTTCCAGGTATTACCCCACTTTATATGCCACATTCTTTCAACTTTATCTTCTGTTCTATATTCAAAGTGTTGCAGATTCTTTCTTCTGATTCTTTCATGTCTTCACAACTCCAATAATGCAACCTGAAACATATATAAGTATGAAAACTCTATTTTTTTGGTAAGGAATAACTGTGTGAATTCTAAGATAGAACTGTTAAATGAATCACTCATTTTTAGCATGCTTCTTTTTACATTAGAAAAGAATATCTAATCCATCTTTATCTTTTCTTATTTCCCAATTTCTTTCATTCATTCCAGTTAAACTTATATAAGGGATTGTCCTTTTCACATAACATTTTAATTCCTACATCCATGTTCATACAGCTGAATTTATGGAATATGGGCTCTTCCTTACTTTTCACCAGCATGAGACTAGCATTTCTGTTAAGATCTACTCCAAGATCCATTTCCTGGAGAACTCACCTAATAAATCTCACTACACTTACATCGTGAAAAAAAACCCCAACAACAATGATGATAATAGTTGACAAAATACTGTAGTTAAATTTAATACCACAAATGTTTATCAAGTGCTTACAATGAGCAAGATGTTGATAGGTAATGGAGATATGAAGATGAAAAATGACAGTTTTTGCCCTTTAAGGAACTTAGTGGGAGAGACTTATCTCATGTACAAAACTGTGACAAAAAAGGAGAATGTGATAATGGGGAAGGAGAGATCTAGGCAAAGTGGTATAAGAAAATTTGAAGGAAGAAAGGTCACTTTTAGCGGGAGATAGATCAAGGAAGATTGGACAGAAGAGAAGGCATATGAGCTGTATATCATGCTTAAGGAATTAATAAATGAAAATTGACCAGTTGTCTTGGAAACAGAAGGCAAAGTATAGATTGAATTCACAGGTTGTCAACAGAAACACCAAGTTTAACTTCAAGAAACACAATGGTCAAACTTTAGATTTTGAATGATAAAGAACAAAAACCTCAGGAAACTAAGAGGAAAAACCTTCAATTACCAAGAAAAATCAGTTCAAACATCACAAGACTACCTTTCATTTATGAAAATTAAAGAAGAAAAGTGTAATTTGAAATAAAAAAGCTAAAGAGATCATTTTGTACTACAAAATAACATACTGAAAAGGGGAGTGTAATAGTCAATAAAAAATTCAGAAAAAGGAGACATTTGAGTTATTCATTATACATATATTTATAACAGAAAGCAGAGGTGAGCTTGGTATCTGACATGAAAACATTTAAAAAAGGAGTTACACAAAAAGGCTGTTAACCATAAAATAATAAGTAAGTAAATCAAAACTCTCATTTTTTTTTTTGTTTTGTTTTCAGGCAATTTGGGTTAAGTGACTTGCCCAGGGTCACACAGCTAGTAAATGTCAAGTGTTTGGTCTGAAGCTGGATTTGAACTCAGGTCCTCCTGATTTCAGGGCTGGTGCTCTATCCACTGAACCACCTAGCTGCCCCAAAGCTTTCATGTTTTTATAGCAAGACAAGGTTATTTGTTGTTTGTTTTTAAACTGTCACGTTAGTTAAAGGCCAGTGATAGAACAAAAAGAGGACATCTAAGGAAAGAACCTAAAATTCCAAATATCCAGTGAGGAGAAGGGAACAACTGAATTCCTATTACTGGCAGTATGGGGTGGGGAGAACAAAGCCACACCCTCCCTTAATGGGGCTTTGAAAGAGGAAAAGGATGTATTCTTTTTCAGTCTCTAAACCTGTCAGCAAAGCAGTGAGAGTTTAAAAAAAGGGAGGTTTCTGAATAAAGTTCCCTTTGGGGAGGGGAGCATCTCTTGGAGATATAGGAAGATGCACTATGGAAGCCCAACATTGGATTCCATTCAGAGGAAGTGAGAGTTTTGGAAAACCTTTTTTGTGCAAATGTTGGGTTCTAAAGAACAACTCCCACTAGGGCAGAGAGGATTTTTCCCTGGGCTGGGGCCATGCAACAGGGAGGAAAAAAGGTGGCATGTAAAGGTCAAGAAGGAATAGTACAGAATGGGTAGGAGGTGAATATGTGGGACTGGACCACTTGACACAGGATGCAGAGTAACTTTTTCCACTTCCTCCACTGATTAATATTTCTATTGAGGTTCCTCAGAAGTGTGCGTGTGTGTGTGTGTGTGTGTGTGTGTGTGTGTGTGTGTGTGTGTGTTTTAAGGGAAATGGGAAAGGGAGGATTGGGGTGAGATCTCCAACTACATTAACAGATAGGTGAGATGAAGCAATAAACAAGGCTTCTGTCTGCTAGAAGCCTTGCCTTTTATTAGGAATATAGAGAGAATAAAGAAAGAACATGTAAGTGCAAAGCCCATGAATGGAGGCATAGATTAGTCTGGAGTAGCCAGGCAAAAGAAAATAGTAAGGAAGGGGATGAAGGAAATTAACACTACTTGAAAAGTACTGTCAGAAAGAATGTTATTTAAGTTAAGAGAGTGAGCGGTAGAGAACAGACAGTTCTGTACTGGTTGGGAAAGAATATGGTCAAAAGATAGGAGAAGGGAAGGACAAGAAAAGGAAAGGGAAGGAAAGGGAAAGGTAAAGAAAGGAGAGGAGGACAGATATCAAAAGTAAATTTGAAGAATTTAATTTAGGCAAGGTAAAGTCAAGAAGGGAGGGAAAGTTTATGGGAAAATAGTAGAACCAAACAGGTATAAGCAAAATAAATTACTGTGATCAAATGCTTAATTGAAAGTGCAGAAAAACTAAATACAAAAGGATTAAAAAGAAGAAAATATAAACATAATAATTATAACTTTAAACTTGAATGACTTAACTGTACCAAAAACATGAACTCTGAAAGGAACTCTGTTTAAAGGCACCATACATAAGAAAACAAGACCATTATTTAATACATATAAACCAAATGACAGGGTCGAAGCTCTTAGAGAAAAGTAGTTAAATTGCAAAAAAGGCACAGAAAGCAAATCAATAATTAAAAGACTTTAATATTCCTCTTCCAGAGCAAAACAAAAATCTAACAGATAAATAAGAAAAAAACCAAGGAGCTCAACAGATCTTTAGAAAAAGTGGATTTGAAAGACAAGAATATTCTACATGACAGTATTAAAGAATTTCTTTCTATGGCAGCTTTAAACAAATTGATCATGTCTTGGACACAGAGAAATCAAAAATTAATGTAAAAAATAAATATCAGGTCCATATTTAATAACTATGAATAGCAAAAGTATTAAATAATAGAGTAATTACAAAGAAAAGGCACAGTACTACATGGAGACTAAATAATGATACTCTGCATAATGAGCATATCAAAAAACAAAACAAAGGAAAAAATAAAAATGGGAGTTATTTTTATGTTGTTATTTTGTATGGAATTTCACCTTATATTGTTTTCTCCTGGCTGTGTGGATTAATTTTGAAACCTGCTGCTTTACTAAACCACTTCAGGTTCTTAAGGATTCTCTGGAATTTCTAAGTAAACTATGGCTTCATATGCAAACTGGGAATATATTATTTCTTCTTAGCCAATATTATCAATTGTCCTAAAAGAGCCCACCCACACAGCATAGTGATTAGAAAGGTGACCAGATCCTGCAGCAAACAATATAAAGTGAGATTCCAGTCAAAATAAAAACAGAATACATAAAATACATTGGAGTAACAAAAGATATAAAATCTCAAGGAAAATAAAGAAAAAAATTAGGGATGAAGACAGCCAAGCATAATCATATCTCAAGCTACATTAAATTTCAAGCTATATTACATAATATTAATCAGCAAAACTATTTGATACTGGTTAAAACAGATAAGCACATTGGTGGAACATACTACATATGAGCAAGACCTAAAACAAAGGCACATGATAACCTAGTTTCAGCTAAATCACCCCCCAAAAAAAACTGCGGAGGGGAAAGATTCCACATTTTAAAGAACTGGTGGGAAACATGGAAAGTAGTATGGAAGAAGACAGGTTTAGAGTAGCAATGTTCATTACACACCACAAGGAACTCCAAGTAGGTAAGTTGTCTAAAGTAAAAAACTCACATCTTAATTCAGAAGGTTGGACAGGGGGGCTCTTTCATAATTATAATTAGAGGAAGAATTAATAAGCAAACAAGTAGTGATCATAAAACTAAAATAAATTAGATTATATAAAATTAAAAAGCAACAAAATGATGGAAAATTAATGTAACTAGAATAAGAAGAAAAGTCATTGAATAGGAAAAAGCTATGTGATAAGTATGATGTCCAAGATGTATGGGACATATTAGTTGAGGAGTCACTCTTCAACAGATAGGAATACAAAGAGTTTTCAAGAAGAGAATTAAATTCGAAAGGCATGTATTAAGCATCTACTATGAGCTAGGGCCTAGGGATACCAACACAAAGATGAACCAATGCCTGCTCTCAAGGAGCTTATATCTTTGGCAGAAAGAGCTAAATGCTGTACTCTACAGATAGAGAGAAACAGCATGGTACAATGGACGGAACACTGGCCTTGGAGTCAGGAAAACCTGGCTGGAAGACTGGCTTCTTCTAGACAATGGCTGTGTGACCTCTGATTTGGTCTAGGAAACTCCCTTTATCAATGGAAGTTGTTGTGTGTTCTGCAACTTAGAGTTGCAGTCTCTTAAAGAGTTGCTTGAGATTGTGACGTGCTTAGCCATGATGTCCAGGAAGCAAAAGAAGGAAGTTGAGGAACCTAGGGATGTTGAGGATAAGCTTTGTGTATGGGAGAGCACTTGAACTGAACCTTGAAAGAAGTGAGGGATTCTGTGATGCAGAGATAAGGAAGGAGTTCATTCCAGGCACGGGGGCGCAGCCTGTGCAGAGGAACAAAAATGTGAGATGGAATACTGTGCATAATCATTAAGTGTTCTAGTCTGGCTGGAAAGGAAAATAATATGCAGTCAATGTGGAAACATAGGTGGGAGCCAGATTGTGAAGAGCCTTAAATGCTAAAGAGAAGAGTTTATTTTATTCTATAGGCAGCTGGGAACCTTTAGTAAGGGAGCAATAAGGTCAGACTTGGGCTTTAGTAATATCACTTTGGCAGTTATGTGGAGAACAAATGGGGGGGTGGGGGAAGGCTGGAGGTAGGGAGACCAATTCAGAGGCTACTGCCATAGTCCAGGCAAGAGGTGAAC